TGTCCTCAGTTACATCCAGTTTATTCTTTTACCTATCTATTATGTTTTTAATGTAGGATCAAATGTCTCATTTCTAAAAGTTATATTTGGTTCTTTTCAAATATGATAGGTGACTTTTTAATAGTTTCTTCTTGCCATTGGTATTATCAAGCTCATTTTCAAATTTCTTTAAGTGTAATGAGCATATATTTATAATCTAGTCTAATAATTCCAATAATGATATCTTTATAAGCCTGTTTCTGCTGTTTGTTGTTTCTGCTTATTCTTGTCATTTCTTTATATGCTTTGATATTTTTTACCACTTATTTTCTTTAAAAAGTTATTTGTGGAAATGAAGATGACTTCTTCCAGAAAAGACTCGTGTTTAATTCTGACTGACATCTAGGGACACAAACAATCCTGGACCCTCGCAAACTAAGTTTGCAATTTGAGATTCTCTGAAATACCTAGACGATGCAAATCCAGGCTGAGTTCTCTGAAAACACAAGTCTATGGCCATGATATTTCAGAAGTTTTTTCTTTCTTTCTTTTTTTAACCTCCTCTTCACTCAGTGCCAAGAGTCTTCTCTATATCCCCTGCAGGTGAGGCAAGAGGATGGGTTTCCGGATGATTCGCTTTTACCTCAGTGCTGTAGCCTTTTGAGATTCCAGTTTTATATGGGAAAGGTCTCCTTTAATGAGATTCCCCACCTGAGTGGGTCCTTGCCTTGACTTCTGGATTCATCAATCCAGAAGGCTGGCCAAACTGAAGCCCCAGCTTGCCTGGATTTGCAAATCTCAGTCTCCTTCATGTGGGGCAAAATTGCATTAGTGTTCTGATACTTCACTTACCTCCCTGGGTCTCCTTTTTACTTATATTTTGGCTTGCGCTTCTTGTCAGCAGTTTGATGCTTTTTATGAATGTTTTAAATGATCTTATCCAGGGGCCCCTGGCTGGCTCAGGCAAGAAGAGCATGCAACTCTTGATCTTGGGGTCATGAGTTCGAACCCCATGGTGGGTGTAGAGATTACTTAAATAAATAAAACTTTAAAAAAATAAATTATCTTAACCAGCATTTTAAATTGTTTTCTATGGGAGAGCTAGAGCAAATAATCTAGCTTACTGGATTTAAACCCTGTTCTCCAGAAACAAGTTTGGTATCACCATTCTTGAATGTTCTTCTGCTATCTCATATCTAGAAGTTTTTACCACCTCACATAGTTTCAGCCTCTTTCTGTCTTGCTTGTGCTTCCCCCCCCCCCGCCATTCTTTCTCCTTTCACTGTCCCTTTACTCCATCTTAGGAGCAAAATCAATAAATTCCCTGATTTGTTTCCTACAAAGTAGTTTTTCCCTTTATCCAAGACATCCAACTCCATAGGATCGTCTCTACCTCCAGCTAGCTTAACTAGCATTTCTCCAAAAGGGTTTCCTTCCCCCAAAGGGTAAGCACAGTGTCTTTAGAAGTCTCTAACTCAGCCTGGAGAGATATAGAAACTATCAGAAGTGGGTATTGCTTGAGCTAAGAGTTCTAAAGAATGAGTAAGAGTTAGTGGAATCTCCCACATCTCTCCAAGCTCAAGTAATGACTGTCCCAACTGCCCCCATTTCAAAGCCATCTCTATCACAGTTTCAGCAGCTGGAACAGGAAATTCCTTACAGACATATGCAGTTAATGTATTGAATTTCACATTGGAATCAGGAATGTGAGATAAGGGAAATCTGTAGATTAAATATGAACCTCAAGTTTCTGAGTCAGTGTAATCTCCCTTGGACAAGTAGTCCCTTGTTGAGACTCTGAGAGGACAGAACAAAAATTCCTAGTGGTAACTGGTAGTTCTGAAGTTGAGCCAGCCTCATGAAATTCTGGATCTGTCTCCCAAATTTTCCCCCAACTCAAAGGTACTTCTGAAGAAAACAGTTGTTTACAGAGCCCCAGCAAGGAAAAGTTAGATTTAAACCCTGTTCTCTAGAAACTTTCACATCAGTGAAACAGACATATGTACTAATAATTTCAGTACAATATGATGAGTGCCATATTGGGATGTATTTAATGTGTTATGGGCCATACAGAAGAAGTAACCCAATTCTTTGGGTAACTGGGATAACTACTGAAGAAGAGATATTTGAACTGTAGCTTAAAGGATGGATAAGGTGGGGAAAGGTAGGGATGCCTGGCCGGCTAAGTCGGAAGAGCATGCAACTCTTGATCTTGGGGTCATGAGTTTAAGCCCCACATTGGGTATAGAGATTACTTAAATAAATAAATAAATAAATAAATAAATAAATAAATAAATAAATAACTTAAATTTTTCCCCCAAAATATAAACAAATAATAAATAAATAAACAAATAAGCAAGCAAGCATGTCATTGTACAAGCAGATGTTCAAATAAAAGGCCAATAGTTTGGTGTGGCTGGAATCCAAATTTAAGGAAGAGGGAAGGGGACAATGTCACAGGTAGGAGGGGACCACCCTGTTGTCTTTCACTAAACACTTTCATAGGTACCCTGTGTTTTTTAAATAACATTCTTCCTGGTTTGTACTTCTTGTTCAATGTCTGTTCTTTGTAATATTCTTCCTTAGTACTGGGACGTCAATAAATACTATGTAAAATTAATAACTCAAGAACAAATGTAAGAATATCATTTTTAGTTGTAATAATAACAAAAACTAAAACTAAATAATAACAAGAACTAAAGTTTAGTGACTATCTAAAGAAAGTGGGACTATGTTATAGGGTAAAGGGATTTGAGAGGAAAAAAAATTTTTTTAAGATTTATTTATTTATTTGACAGAGAGACACAGTGAGAGAGGGAACACAAGCAGGGGGAATGGGAGAGGGAGAAGCGGGCTTCCCGCGGAGCAGGGAGTCCGATGCGGGGCTCCATCCCAGGACCCTGGGATCATGACCTGAGCCAAAGGCAGACGCCTAACGACTGAGCCACCCAGGCGCCCCTTGAGAGGAAATTTTTATTTAATTTTTTATATTCTGTTTTGTTCAAGTATGTTTTCATGTGTATGCAATGTTTTTAAATTAAAATTTTTATTGAGGTTAAAAAAAAAACCTTACAGTAACACGAAGTTAAAAACAAACTTAAAGTGCCCAGATCTTAAATGTATGGCTTATTAAATTTGTATACATGTAAACATCCACATAACCACTATCCCGATCAAGTTATAAAGTATTTCCAATTCCCCAGAAGATTCCCTGATGGCCCTTCCAAGCCAGTACTGCCCCCGCTATTCTGACTTCTACCACTATCATTTAGTTTTGCTTGGTTTTCACTTCATTTACATGGAATTATACATTATGTACTTCTTTAACTTTTTTCATTGATATATAATGTAGTGAAGTATACTGATTTAAATGTTAGTGCAATGAATCTTTATATATTTCCAGAACCCCAGAAGATTCCCTTATGCCTCTTCTCAGTTAAGACTATTCAGATACTAAGATAACCACTATTTTGAGTTCTACCACCATTGCTTATTATTCCCTGCTCTTGAGCCTCATATAATGGAAGCATACAGTATTGTGGTGGTCATGGAGGATTTTCTTTAAGAGAACCTGCTGCAGGAAGCACAGTTGACTAAGAGCCTCTACCTGCTGCCTTATAGATCTCCCTCCTGAGATCAAGCTTTCCTGGGCTGCTTCTAGCCAAAGGCTGAGCATGAGTGTGGATATTAGAGCCTGGCCAATCCTGCCCGATGGGGACTCCTCCAGTAGACCACTCCTGCTCAGGTCTGAGCAAAGAGACTCTCAGAAGTGCCCTGCAGTCTGAGACTCTTCCTACTCAATCCTCCCCTCCTTCTCTCCTTTCATAGGTTTTAGACCTGCATTGAAGCCTTGCCATTCCTGCTCCCTTGCCCTTTATTCTTCACAGGCTCTTCCCTTACTAAGACTTTTGCACATCCAATTCTGTTTTGGCACCTGCCTCTCAGGGGACTCAAACATAAATATGTTTTTTTGTGTTTGGATTTATCTGCTTAGCACTGTGCCTGTGAAAGTCATCCATATTGTTATGTGTAGCAGTAATTTGTTCTCTTTTCTTGCATAAATATGCCACAATATATGTATCCATCCTAAAGTTATTGGACATTTGAGTAGTGTTCAGCTTGGGGCTCTTAAGCTCATGTTTTTTTTGTTTTTTTTTTTTAAGATTTTATTTATTTATTCATGAAAGAGAGAGAGGCAGAGGGAGAAGCAGGCTCCCAAGGAGCAGGGAGCCCGATGTGGGACTCGATCCCAGGACCCTGGGATCATGACCTGAGCCGAAGGCAGACGCTTAACCATCTGAGCCACCCAGGCACCCCCAAGCTCATGTTTTTGTATATGTGTGTCTTTTGGTGGAGACATGCACTCCTTTCTCTTGGGTATGTGCCTAGGAAGTGGAGTGGCTGGCTCATAGGCATGTGTTTAGATTTAGTAGATACCGTCAAACAATCTTCTAAAGCAGTTCACTCCCAACAGCATTTATGAGAAGTCCTGTTACATATAATATTTTTACCAATCTAAAAGAAAAAACAACTTGAGTACCAAAGACAGAAATCAAATTTGTTATATCATCCTAGGTTCGTGTTTAAATTACCATTTTAGACACTGCTTCACAGGAAGACTGTTAACATAGCCCCAAATTGTTAACAGTGGTTATATTAGAGGAAGAAGGGGAGATCACCTTTGACTTTGAGATATATTTGAAATACTTTACAACAAGCATATATTTCTTTTACTTTTAATTACCTTGTCTTAAAAAATATTAAAGAGAAAAGGTTCATGATGAGAGAACAGCATTCTCCTCCCACACTCCCCGCTCCCCTCAGGCCCACACCTCCCGGCTAGAATGCCTTTAATTACCTTCTAGTTTCCAAAGATGTGTTAGAATCTCTCTCTTTTTTTTTAAGATTTTATTTATTTATTTGAGAGAGAGAATGAGAGATAGAGAGCACGAGAGGGAAGAGGGTCCGAGGGAGAAGCAGACTCCCCGCTGAGCAGGGAGCCCGATGCGGGACTCGATCCCGGGACTCCAGGATCATGACCTGAGCCGAAGGCAGTCGCTTAACCAACTGAGCCACCCAGGCGCCCAGATGTGTTAGAATCTCTTATCTGCTGCCCCGTTCTCTGTATCATTGTGTGTTTACATCTTTTCTATTGTTTTACTTTATTTAGTGAGGTTTCAAGAGGGAGAGAAAATTAATATGACCAATCTGCCACTTTTAGTCAGAAGCCCATGCATACAATCCAGGCTGATTTTTGGACATTATCATGTAGGGGAAGTAATGTATTGCAAAATAGTCGGCTGTTTGTTATAAAGACACTGTTCTGGTGACGGGGGTCGGGGGGGTGGGGGGGGACTGGGGGTCAGGGATGGCCTGAGATGGGAGCACCCAGAGGCTTGTGGGAAGAATGGTTCAAGGGCTAACAGATAGTTAGGAAGGCACTGAGGTCAGCTTCTCACCCAGCTGCAGCAGGAGGGAGAGAGCAACATAGAGGGCACAGAGAAGTCGTGTGTCAGGGTCCCAGCCCATATCATGGGGCTGCTCACTCCAGTTCTGCTCCAGGACAGATCCACCTGGAAAGAAACACACCAGACTGTAAAGCTAGGAACAAGGAAACATACCAGAAATGGCAAATACTTGGCCACACTTCTTGATCCTGGGTGGTGGCAGATGTAGTAATCCATTATGGCACTTTTCCCTGCAGATCCTGGAAAGCCTTATACTCTCTCAACATAGTGACAGGCACTGCTAATCAGTGTTGGCACTGTCATCCTGGGACTAACAGTTCCCCCCCACCCCGCCCATAGGCTAGCAACAGAGTCTAAAAAGCCCACCCCAAGTTGTCTTGGAAACCAAGTGTTCCAGGGAATTGCCACAGGCCAGCTGAATGGATGCGAGCTGACAGAGAGCTACGAAGTAGGAAGAACTGTACCCTGGGACTTCTGAGTCCCTTGAGAGCATGGCCATTCACTTCTGCTATGACCCTGGCCCTCAGCCCAGGCTGTCTTACCTGGTCCTTCAACAGGGGCAGGGTCCCCTTCTCTAGGGCCTCAGCCACGAGATGCTGCTCCTCAGACGCTCTGGAGGCAAAAAAAAAGAGGGTGAATAGGGTGGCTGGCAGAGAGGAGAAGCACACAGTGGGACGGGGCTTCAGTGTCTCATCAGACCTGGGACAAGCATCAGAAGGAGTTTCCAGAGGGCCCCTGGCAGTGATAGATGAGTTATTCCAAATGGGCTCTTGCTATGGCGCCTGCTTCCCTCTTAGCCTGCAGGAGGTCAGACTGTGCCAGGAGGTAGAGGAGGCATCCCCTAATCCCTGGCCTAGGGAAAATGGCCAGGTTCTAAAATGTGAAGGTCTATCATGCACAAAATGTAAAAGGCAATGTATGGCCCCTTCCTCCTAGGATTTGAATCCCCACAGACCCCTCTGCTCCGCAATTCATCCACACCAGCATACAGCCACATCCCTCCTCACTAATCAAAGCATCCAGGATATCCAGAATGGATTCTGTATGTGCCTTTACCAAGAACCCAGCAGCATTGAAAAGGCTACTTATGAGAAGACCCGCTAGACCCTCCATCTCTAGATGAGTCTAGACCCAGAGATCAGGACCTCAAACACCTAGGGCCAGCAAATGGGGGAGATGAGCACCAGTCCCACTTTAGCAGAGAGTGGTAACTGCCCTCTGAGGCAGCTTAGCACATCTTTTTGTTCCTTCTCAGTCAGATCCTAGAGGCCTCTCACCCTGTCCTGCTCCTTCTCCTTCATGTTTCTGAAATCCTCTAAACTCAAGGACTTCCCTGTAGAGACAGCAATTAAGAGTTCGACTTACCCTTGGGGCGCCTGGGTGGCTCAGTCTGTTAAGCAGCTGCCTTTGGCTCAGGTCATGATCTCGAGGTCCTGGGATTGAGCCCCACGTCAGGCTCTGTGCTCAGTACAGAGTCTGTTTCTCCCTCTCCCTCTGCTGCTCCCCCTGTTCATGTTCTTTCTCTCTCTCTCTCTCTCTCAAATAAATAAATAAAAATCTTAAAAAAAAAAAAAAAAAACTCGACCTACCCAGCCAACAAGCTCCATTATCACCAAGGCCCCTGCAGACCCCATTCTTCATGAGACCACTTTTCTGTCTCTTTCCTTCTTCTAATCTTTTCCTGTTAAAATAAAGCATCCTTCTTCCAGACACCGCAAGTCAAAGTTGTCAGAGCCTGGAAACCCGAGGCCAACGTGCAATCCAACCTGCTCCAATAGGCAGGGTTTTTTTCCTGCCCACACCACGGTTCCCACCCCCGGGTGCACCCTATCCCATTCTCAACCCTAAGAACCCTATAATACCGGGCCATTTGTTATGCTCTTTTAAAAAACAGTATCCTTGCCCATTCTGGAAGGATGAACAGAAGGCCTAGAAGCCACTCACCTTCTGGAAAGGCTTTTGTGTTGCCCAAGAAACAAATTATCTAAACTAGTGCCAGAGAGAGAGAGAGAACCAGTTCTCAGAAAGACAAGTTCTTTCTCTGTCTCTGTAAGTTCCTCTTTCATGTCTCTCCCCAATCCTTACACTCTGCCCCTCACCAAAACAAAAAATGAAAACAAACTCAGAAAGAGCTAGGCATTAACACCTCTAGCTAGGGAAGGATTTGTATCATGGTGGGGCAAATCCTGGGTGTCTGAGCAAGGAACCTCAGTCCTCCTACCCAGCCCTGAGCCCTCCCCCTTCCCTGGAACTTCCCCCTACGTTCAAGCTCACCAGGGCCCCTCCAGGCTGACACAGAGCCTAGCTGAACCTCCCCCCAACCTCCCCTGCCCCCACCAGGCCTTGCTTACTCATTGTCCCCAGGCTGGGGAAGATGAGCTGCTTTACTCAATAGCCCAGGACCCCCTTTAGGAGGTTGGTCGCTGACCTTTGGTGTTAGGAGAAAAGAGCTCGTACTGATTAATCCCTAGGTGCTTTGCGTGGTTATCTTGCTAGATCTCCCAAACAATCCCCGTTTTACAGATGAGAGGACTGAGACTCAAAACAGATCAGTAGGGGCGCCTGGGTGGCTCAATGGGATGAGCATCTGACTTTGGCTCAGGTTGGGCCCTCTGCTCGGTGGGGAGTCTGCCCCTCCCTTTCCCTCTGCCCCTCCCCCTGCTCATGTGCTCATGCATGCAGGCGCGCGCTCTCTCTCACTCTTGTCAAATAAATAAAATATTTTTAAAAAAAAGGATCAGTAGGTAAGCCAGTTTCACAGTGTACACAGTAGCAGAGCTGAAATATGAACCCGCATCTGACCCCAAAACTCATGTTCTTTCCACTGTTGATTCAATAAATATTTATTGAGGACCTTTTTATTCCAGGCACTGTGGCTCCTGCCTTCCTATCTCTCAGAAAGGGAGGCAGACAATAAGCAAAAAATCCCCATGTAATTATGAACCGTAGGAAACGCTGAGAAGCAAATGAAAACAGAGCATCACATGAGAGTAACAGCGGAGGGACTTAGCAATGCTACACACACTTTCTTGGAGCGAGAAGAGAAGGCCTAAGAAGGCCCAGGAGCAGTTGAGATTGCTCAGGGAGGTCTGGAAGAACAGCTGAAGAGCCTGGGGTCTGGGCTGGCATCCCCCGACCTACCGTGGGTGGTTCAAGGCTTGGTTCGCTCGCAGGCCCTGCCCCCCAGGGTCCTAACCTTGCGTTCACCTGGCTCCACAACATACACAGCCGTTCACTTTTCAGGGTTTCCTTCCTTGCCGTCTCCAGAATCTCTGTCACCAGATAAAGGTCTGCTCTCATTCTCCGGATTGATTGCAACAAAGTGGGGAGTCTTCTCCTCAGCTTCCTGGAGGGAGCCGAGCGGGGGATTAGAGCTCAGGATCCCAGGAGCCCCACCTGCCAGTGACATTTCTCCCTCTCCTTCAGCTAGTTCCTATTTGAGATGGAGGGTCTCTGAGGCTGGAAAACCAAGGCACATGGCACCCCATCATAGTTCACTGTACCCACGGTAGGGGCAAGGAAGTAGGAGGTGGGAAGGGAACTCAGTAGCATCTCTGGAAGATTATAGTGTGCCAGCACCATGAGATACTCCCCACATCGTTTCGCTGCCCCCTCACCACAATTCTGTGATGTAGGCAGAAGTGCACCCATTTCTCATGAGGAAATTGAGGCCTAGAAACAGGTTGTGAATGGTCCAGGGTCACACAGCTAATAAGTGTAGAGTTGGAATTCAGACCCTAGTCTGTATGAGCCCAAAGCATGGGCCCTGCCCATGGCACTGAGACAGGCATTTTCCCAGGTCATAACACCCACTTCTCTGAGATGGGGCTCCAAGTCCTCACGTTGGTCCCTGGGGCCTGGCCACACTGTCCACAGCCCTGGGCTCCAGAAGACATCTTTGATTCCATAAGGATATAAAAATAGCTTCATGGAACTTCATCCAAATTTGCAACCAAAAGACCCTCAAGGAAGACCTACATCCTTGCCTCTGCTAAACCCCCTCTACCTAATAACCTCCCCCTAATTCTTTATACACACACCACAGAGCTTCATTCTAGAAACAACAGGCATTCTAGAAAAAACTGAGCTCCCTTAGAAAAACTCCAAAGACCCCTCCCCAGCAACACTATGGTAGGGAGGGGTAGTTCAAAGGACCAGTAAAATTTCAGTGTAAGCCTTTCACTTTTCAATTAAAAAAGGAAAACAAGGGCGCCTGGGTGGCTCAGTTGGTTAAGCGACTGCCTTCGGCTCAGGTCATGATCCTGGAGTCCCGGGATCGAGTCCCACATCGGGCTTCCTGCCTGGCAGGGAGTCTGCTTCTCCCTCTGACCCTCCCCCCATCTCATGTGCTTTCTCTCTCATTCTCTCTGTCTCTCAAATAAATAAATAAAATCTTAAAAAAAAAAAGGAAAACAAAAGGCATCACCGCACTCTAGGAGGGCTAGCCCTGAGCAAGGCGGAGTCTCCTCCCTTGAGCTGCTCCACAGTTTCCGACAACTTCAGCAGGGAAAGAAAATACCCACACCAACAACAAAATCCCTGCTGAGGGGGAAGGCTGGTGATGTCCCTCTAAGTCCCTTGGAGGCACCATGCCCAGGGCCATCAGAACCTCTGTGGCGCTCTGTGAGCGCCACCCTGGTGGGGTGGGGTGGTGGCACTTTCTGTGCAGGAAACGTTCTGTGCGGGGGTACTTGGATTTCATTGCCCTTCATTTCGGCTGTCTTACTGAGCACCTACTGCACGCTGGGGATAAACACAGCGGTTAGCGGAGCCAGTCCCGCCCAGTCGCAAGCTGTTCCGTACTCCACTGAGGGAGGCGGCATGGCTTGCCACAGGCGGAGTGAAGCTGCACAAAGCACAGATCTGGGCAACTCAGTAGGAGAACAAGGAGAGTGGCCTCTTGAAACCAGCAGGTTTTGGTCCAAGTCGGAGGAATCAATCACCCTGGAGGCTAGCAGGATGCGACTGAGGTGGGGGTGTCTGAAGGTTTCCCCGGGGGCTGATCCAGACAGAATGAGAAGGCTCCCCGAAGGGGTAAGAGGATGGCAGGCTGGAGTGAGGAGCGGGCTCGGGGAGGGTTGGGAGTAGGGCGTCGAGGGGCTGCACCGGCCGGGACACCTCCACCTCAGATGCCTGCGGTGCTCCAAATGGGCGCTCCCCCTCTTCCTCCTCACGCTGCCCAACTCCAGCCTCCCAGGGCTCAAGAGAATCCAGATATTGTTGGGGTATCCGGGGCTCCAGTATCTTGACTCTCTGCTTGTGGGACCTGTGGAAGGCCCCTACAGTTGTTATTTCTTTGGGCAGTTTCACTGTCAACATTCCCTTTGAGTCTACCATGTCCAGAACTTGGAACTCAGCCTTTGGAGGTTTCTGGGAAGAGAAGGGTAAAGGTTATGCTGAGGCTGACCCGTACAGAGGAGGAAGAGCTTCTACTGCTGGGGGGCGGGGAGGAAGGGCTGGATCTCCATAGAAACACGCATTTTGGAACCGGTGGAAACGTGACAGAACTGGCAACAGTGCCTCACATCAGTCCTATGTATGTGACACTAACGCCCGGGCCCATTTGTTTCTTGAGCAATGTACAAGTCGGCACGTACTTTGTCCAAGAGGAAAGAGAAATGAAATGTGACGCACAAAAACAGTATAGTATGGAGAAGGGGAAAAAAGGCTAACTTTACGGGAGAGAAACTTTATTTTTTTTTATTTTTTATTGTTATGTTAATCACCATACATTACATCATTAGTTTTTGATATAGTGTCGGGAGAGAAACTTTAGATAAATACCACGTCAGCCAGGTGACCAAGGTCAACACCAACAGTGATCAGTCATGTCGATAGCACCCCTTGCTATGACGCAGTGGGAATGGCACTTTACCTCCGTGGTCTCCCTCCCCAAAACCCATTGCCTCTATCTAGCCGTGAGAAGAAAACATCAAGCAAGGGCGCCTGGGTGGTTCAGTTGTTAAGCGTCTGCCTTTGGCTCAGGTCATGATCCCAGGGTCTTGGGATCCAGCCCCACATCGGGCTCCCTGCTCAGCGGGAAGCCTGCTTCTCCCTCTCCCACTCCCCCTGCTTGTGTTCCCTCTCTCGCTGTGTCTCTCTCTGTCAAATAAATAAAATCTTTAAAAAAAAAAAATCAAGCAAATTCCAGTAGACAGCATCCTACAATATCCCTGACCAGTCCTCCCGAAAACTGTCAAGGTCATCAAAAATAAGGAAAGCCTGAGAAATTGGCAGAGCCAAGTGAAGCCTCAGGAGATAAGATAACTAAAGCTAACGTGGTATCGTGGATGAGATCTCGGAACAGAAAAAGGATATTAGGTAAGAACCAAGATAACCAGAGTGAAGTATGTGGACTTTAGTTAACGGGAAAACAAAACAAAACAAAAACCTATGTACACTTTAACCATACCATCAGCACCATAGTTAAAAAACAATCTTTCATTTGTAAGGGTTTTTTTTTTTAAGTTGGTTTCACCTCTGCCTCTGAATTTTTTATGCAAACAGACAAGACTTTCCCTTAAAGGAAGTTAACTGACTTAGTTGATTTTTTTCTGTACTTAACGCTTTCCCCTGCCCATGGAGAGTAATATGATCATGGCAAAACATCCGAATCCTAGTTTAAAGTGGTTTTTTTTCCCCTGTTTTCAATGAACTGGTCATTTAGCAAACTGTTTTTTGTTTTTTTGGTTTTCGGTTTTTTGTTTTTTTTTTTTTTTTGAGACCCCGCTTTTAGTAAATTGCCTCTTGGCAATTTGCTTCTCAGAAAATTAACTCAGAGTCTTTGAAAAACGATAACCTTGAAGTTTGCCTGAAGCCCCTCGCTTTCTTAACGAAACCCCACTTGTGGAAAGGCCCACCGCCTCCAAGTAATCTGGGCCCTGCTCTTGGTGACATACGGCCCTGCTCTTGGTGACATACGGCAGTGCCTGGCACATGGCAGGCGCTCTAAAACTGTACAGTGGTACTCTTCAGATTCTTTTCCATCTCTTGGTGAGATCCAGAGGGGCTGTAGCAGAGATGTCTGAGCCGGAAAAGTCCTCACCCTCAGGTGTGAGACACTGAAATAAGTCTCCCAGTGAGGGCTCAACAGCACTTACCCTGGGGCTTCTGAAATCCAAAAAAACTGAGTTGGGAGGCAGGGGGATGGAATAGATTCCTCTATAAATCCTGCAAGTCCTTAGGGAGTCCTGGTCACCTACTTAGTCATGATCTCCGGGGAATAGGAAGGATAACAGCCAGCAGCAGGAGGATGGGGCTGAACTGTGACTGCATGCTCCTTCTGCACAGCCACTGTGAGAAATGGTTTACCTAGTTTGTCTCATTTGATTTTTCCAAGTCTTCTCAATTTGACAGATGAGGAAACAGACTTAGACGGAGAAAGGAACTTGTCCAGGGGTCACCCAGCTGGTAGGAGGCAGAGCCAGGCTTAGAAACCAGGTGCTCTCGGCTCTAAGGCCTGTGTCCTTTCTTAACCACTAAGCAAACTGCCTCCGTTTATTTACCCATCTAAATGATAAACATGTAAACACACCGGAAGACCTCAGCTAATTTAAAAGTGAATTATTTACAAAGGGGAAAACATGGGAAAGGAAGACAATTTAGGAATAATTGCCAATAAAAATAAATTTCCACTAAAAGAACAGGGGAAAGTTCCTTTCTCCCCATGCATATTTTTTTGTGCATTTCTTTTTTTTTTTTAAGATTTTATTAATTTATTTGACAGAGAGAGAGAGACAGCGAGAGAGGGAACACAAGCAGGGGGAGTGGGAGAGGGAGAAGCAGGCTTCCCGCTGAGCAGGGAGCCCGATGCGGGGCTCGATCCCAGGACCCTGGGACCATGACCTGAGCCGAAGGCAGACGCTTAACGACTGAGCCACCCAGGCGCCCCTTGTGCATTTCTTTTGTGCATTTTTTCAAGTTCTTATTTAATTCCAGTTAGTTAACATCTTTTGTGCATTTCTTACACTGAGGAATATGGACATGTGCACACAGGACATATGTTCTAGAACATACAAGTTCTCTGCTGGCTGGCTGCCGTGCTTGCTGGCAATGGACAGTTGACAGTGTGCTAGATAGAGCAGGAGTGGGCAAAGTCTCCTGGCTGGCCATCTCTTACCCCTCACCCTGACCTCGGGGCCCAGAACCCAGCTTATCAAACAGCCCTTCGCCCTTCCCTCTCTCCAGTATGTCCTCTAGGGTGAGGTCTGTCCTGTGGTACTGGTGCCCCCAGAAATTTCTCCTCCCCCTCACCAGAGAGCAGCAGTGAAATCTGTCAGCGTCAAGGATGCTTCTGACAGCAGTCATATCCCCTCCAGCATCCATCTCCTGGACCACAACTCGGGATTTCCTCAACTACACTCCATATTGTGCCTGGACCAACCGGAGAAAAAGAAGCTAATATCAGTTTGGGGGAGGGGGATATTGGTTCGGGTTTTTAAATCTACCTTTGGCAGCCTGGGGTCAATGAAGACCCAAAAGTTCTAGAACAATCAGGACTTGGCATTATTTGCCTTCCCTGTTTCTAGACGGTGAGGTGGTCACTACACACTAAGGAGGGTGGCCATCACAAATGTTAGATTCTCCTCTGTCCTTTAGAGAACGCTTCTGGAGGGAAGATGGAGATTACCCCAAGTGGAAAGGAGAGCGAGACCTATTTTCTGCATCTCCCACAGCCGAGGTGCCGTTTTGCTCAGAGGGGCCTGAGGGGTAGGAAGGCAGGCTCACCATCTTCCAGCTAGAGCCCCACCAGTGTTGGTGAACAGAGGACCCAGGAAGGGGTGCCAGACCTCACATTGCCAACCCCAGTGATTACTTCTTCCCTTGGCTCTGACTCCTGGGCCTCCCTCCCTTGGCTGTATTCTGCAAGTCAGTGGCATGGGTGTTCTTACCCACCGTCTCCCAGTTAGATAGTGGTAAGTCAGCCTCAGAAGGAAACAAGAGACAAAGGATGGCGTGTAAGAGCGGCTTGGGGGTGGGTGCCCTGTGTAGCCCCTCCATCCCCAGGTCCTGTCTCTTCAGTTACTGGTCAGCCTCTGAAGGGTTCCTTTACTCTGGGTAAAAGAAAATGAATCCCAAAAGCCCACCTGGGGCATCTCCCCCACCCACTCTCCCCTTCACCCACTCCTGGTCTACAATTGGCCCCTGTACCTCTCTAGTGCCCCATGTGGGACCCTCCATAGGCCCATTACCAGTGCAGCCTGCCACATGCAGCTGGTCCTTCCCTGTTTCTACTCAGCAGGAGCTCTTTGTCCCCACCACAATGGACCCTTCAGGCGCTCTTACCTCCAAATCCTTCTTTTTTTTTTTTTTTTTTAAGATTTATTTATTTATTTGAGAGAGAGAGGGGCAGAGGGAGAGAGGAAATCTCAAGCAGACTCCCCACTGAGTGCGGAGGCTGACGCAGGGTTCAGTCTCACAACCCCGAGATCATGACCTGAGCCAAAATCAAGAGTCAGATGCTTAACTGACTGAGCCACCCAGGTGCCCTGCCAAATCCTTCTCTCTCTCCCCTTCCATCCCTCTGCAACTCCTTCCTCTTGAGATCTCTTTCCCTTTCTTCAGGCTCCTCTGCTTTCCTCCTGGGGCCAGGACTCCCCTCACAAGCTTTCTGGGCTCCGCCTCCCCATCCTACCTACTTCTGGCCGCCTTCCCCTAAGTCCTTTCTGGCTGGCCCAGGCACCTTACTCACCCATCATGGTGGCCAGCTCTCAGCTCACTCCCAGCCTGGGAATTCTTCTGGGTGCCCAGAAAGGCAGTGCCCAGGACCCACAGGCCCATCCCAGGGGCCACTCACCTCAGCTGCTCACCAGGAATGGCGGCTGTGAGACTGCCCTCTGTAAGATCCCTGCACAGGTGCTGGCCACTGTGTCTCAGGAAGCCCTAGAAGGGAACTGAAAGAACGGGAAAGCTGGGTAGGGCTAGGGGCCCCACCTCTCGGGCGTTCAGATAAGCCCCGTTTTGGCTGGGCTGGAGGTAGATAAGGCTAGCCGTAAGAAACTCTTCCTTCCTCTTGGACTCAGGGAGCCAGGACGGAGATACCTATGTATTCACCTGGTACGTATTCGAGGTGCGTTTGGGCCAGAGAATGGTGCAGAAGGAGGCATACTGGGCCTCCAATCCAAGTGCAATCCAAGTGCCAGCAGGCAACGGCTGTGGCTGTGCCGGGCATATGAGGAGGGCGGTCGAGCTGGAACCAGCTACCAAAATGCCATGCTGTGGTGGGCAGGGCTGGAGACCGAGAGCAAGAGCCGCTGACCGCTGAGGGGAACAGGCCGGCCAGCAAGGAGGACTCGGCCTCCCTCCCAGCCTGGGAATTCTTCTGGGTGCCCAGAAGGGCAGTGCCCAGGACGTGCTCCCCCATAGCCCTCTCGGAGATGCGCCTCCGCCTGTGTTCTCCACCCACCTCTGTCTCCAGGCGGAGGCCTCTGGCCCCCAGCCCTCAGTCCTCAGAGATAACCACAGAGTGAGCCTGGCCTGTCTTCTGGGCCCCGCTCCGAAGCAACGTTTAAGGCGATGATCCTGGTAGTAACAACAGGAATCATGCTACTGTGGCTACCTCATATGAAGTACTTACTAGGTGCCAGGTGTTGTGCTAATCCTCCCAACAGCCCGGACACGGATTATCCTTCTAGCACAGAGGAAGAAACTGAAGCTTACAGAAGTGAGGCCACGAGGCCGCTAAGTGGCAGAGCAGGATTTGACCGCAGATGATTGTTGATGTGCGCCAGCCCCTCACCCTGACTGCACTCCTGCAAGTGCATGGAAGCTCCCAGGGCACCCCCACCCTCACGACTGGGCCCAGGGGGCCGTATCGCTCCGCCCAGCGCTGTGTGGGCCTCACTCGGTGCACTTGGGCAAAGACCCCGCGCTCTTCCCAGCACCCACTCCAAGGACACTGACGCTGGCCCAGAGCCAGAGAGGGGCCCAGACTGCCCGGGGCGGCTCCTCCCTTCTACCTGGGATCCAGGAATAGCACCTGGTCCTGCAGAGAGAGCGCACAATGAAAGGCCCAGAAGCCCAAAGATCAGAGTTCCTTCACTAAAGGGCTCCCTCCTTTCCTGGCCCTGTGAGCCTAAACAAGTCCTGGAGGCTTACCTCCTCCCTCCCCAACCCCCCACTCACTCTCTGGGGGGCGGTGGCCAGGAGAGGAGGCACCGGTTCCCCTGAAGGCAGAAAGGCGAGGAGGAAATGCAGTGCTCCCAGGGAGGGAGCACTGAGGGAAAAGAAGCGAGAACAGGGGAAGGCATCCTGAGGAAAGGACTGGGCACCCCTCGGGACTCGGCTTCATTCACGAGTCACTGATCCCCTTCCTGGCCATGACAGCCTGGCGCAGCCAGCCCCAGGAGACCAGAGGTGTAAGTTCAGACAGAGGAACCAGCACGAAGATCAGAGAGCAGAACCCTGCACTCTGGCCTGCAGCTGCCTCTGCCAGTTCCCTCCCAGCCCCTCCGACTCGCTCTGCCAGGGAGGGCAGGAGGGCGGCAGCAGGAAGAGCCGCAGCCCCAGAGCCCCGGCCTCCATCTAGGCAGAGGGTCCCAGACGCTCACACACTGGCCTCAGCAGGAGCTGTGGCCCAATCTCCTGCCCTCTCCCCCGGGGCCCTCCAGGAAACAGCCAGACTCAGGGGAAACAGAAACACATTGTCCTTTATTTGCGTTTCTCAGAATACTGTACAAAGGGAGTAAAAATCCTATTCACACATTGCTTAGAAAGATTTTGAGGTGAAAGTTCCCTATGACACATGGGGTGGGGAGCAGGGGAATCGGGAGGCAGGAAACTGGACCAATGACCTCCCCTCCTCCCTCAGGGCCCTGGGAGGCGGGGCATGGGCACCCACACCTTTTCAAAAGTAACCCAGACCCTGGTCAGATCAAGCAGGGGAGAAAGCAGCCCCTCTCTCCAGCCCACACTCAGGCCCCTGCCCCACATCTCCTGGCGGCAGCTGAGGCGACAGCGTCCGCAGGTCACTCCTGGCTCCTTCTGCTACCCTGCCTGGGCAGGGGCCATTCTGTGGCCCACGCCCCCCGTTCGGGGGTGGCCCCAGAGCCCCACAGGTACACGCCACACAAGAGGCCCTGCACCAGCTCCAGTCTGCATGAGGAGAAGGCGGAGGATGCAGAAGAGCCCTACCACCCATCACATGTCCCAGTTCCCCCACACCCCTCACACCAGCGCACAAGGCAGTGTCACACTGGACCGGTGCTAGCGATGACTCACAGGCCTCTTCCACCCCTCCGCACCCCCCACGCTGACGCGGGAGCTCCCAACCCCCCACAGCCTCCTGTCGTCCTATTATCACCACCAGGCTGTGGGGCAGCCCCTGAGCCTGCCCCATCCTGTCCACTTCCCAAAGACTGAGGTTAGGTCCGGCTTCTATCCCCATCCCCCTCCCTTACACCAATCTCTGCCGCTGTGTGGCCCCTTCTTTCATGTCTCAATTCTCCATCCCCAGCCCTGCCCCAACCGCCCTCCCCACCTCCACCAGGGCCAAGATGAGAGTGGACGCAGCCCCCTCACCTCTGGGACCAGGCCACCCACACCCAGCCCCACCACCCCTCTCCTTACCCTCCCCACTCCAATCCAGTGCCCAGGGTGGGTGGGAGGGGAGCTGCCAAAAGCATGAGACTTGCAATAGACAGTTCTCTACCCGGAGGAATGAGGCACCGTCATGCGCTTGCTTTCATATATACGAGCACACACTGAGTGTCATCCTAAAGACTTAAGAATTAAAGTGAAACCATCCAGAAGCTGTACCGTAACCCCCTGCTCCCCTTGCAGGGGTTAAAGTGCTTTAGCAGTCTGAGGATGAGCAAGTGAGCAGGGGATTTCTCTTGTCCCAACCTCACATGTCTGCATTCAGCCGGGAGCCCAGCCCATTCCATGACTGCCCCCACGAAGTCTCTATCCAAAAGGCAAAAGGAAACGATCAAAAAAATCAGAAAGGGTCAGAGACCTGGGGGGGTCCACCCGAACTCCACTACAAGCTACTTCAAGTCGGCTACCGGGGGAAGTGAGGGGGGAAACGAGGGCCCAGAGGCTCAACCCCCATCTCTAGCAGGATCCAGAGGCTCCTTCTGTCTTCAGCATCACAGCACAGGCTCCTACTCCTCCCCCCGCCAGCCAGACAGGGGAAGGGGCTGCGCCCTCAGTACTTATTGATTCCAAAAATCCGGACTCCGTGGAGCTGGGGCAGCTTGGGGATGAGCACACTCATCAAGGACACAGTGTTGAGGATGAAATGGATCTGGTCATACTTGGTATAGAAGCTGGTGAGGAAGTACCTAGGTGGGAAGGTTGGGAAGAGGCATAAGACTCTGTTTGGAGGACCCCTTCCTCCCTCACTCCTGGGTGGGGAGTGGCAGATCCTCACAGCTGAGGAGTTATGGGAAAGACCCCCAGAACAGAAGCAGAGTGGCAAGATCACCCCGTTAAAGAGGTCCCTCCCAGCCCAGTCCCCATGCTTGACCCCAGGTCTGTGGGCTTACATCACTGGTAGGCAGGAAGGCCCATTTGGTGAAAGACAGGGCCAGGGAGGCGCAAGGCCTGAGCCCAGCAGAGGACCCGGGGATACTCCAAAGTCCCTTCCTCCGCCCATGCCAAAAGCCAGAGCCGGCGGCAGGTTTAAGCCTGGCAGGGCCCAGGGTTCCCCAGGCCTTGGCCTGCCTGCTGGCGTCCTTCTCTACTGAAGGCACTCACAGCACGATGGGTGTGATGGTTAAGAACTTCCGAGACGCTGTGAACTGGACCCCATAGTCCATCTGCTCCCAGTGGGTTAGCAACCTCGCCTTGCCCTGGTCCGGAGTCTCAAAGGGTGTCCCCTTCACCGTGTGCAGGAAGATGTACATGCCCTGGAGGGAGGGGCCTTCGTTAGAGGACACAAAAAGCAAAAGGCCCTCCAGCTCAGCTCCTCCACCCCAAAAAAGTGGGCTCTGGGTTATGTGGAGCCGCCCTCTGAGGGGCAGAGGGCTGTGGGCTGGAGGTCAGGATGGAGCAGCTGGGAGCCTGGCAGGAGACAAAGGGGACCCACTGGGTGAGAGCGCAGGCCTGGCATGAGGATAAGGCATGGGGAGAACTTAGCTGCAGAAATGCCCCTCTGGCCCAGTGTAAGCTTCCCTGTGCCAGAGAGCTGGGGTCGAGCGGATGGCCCCTGCTTGCCTGCCAGAGTACAAGCTAGCAAGCAGGGGCCAAGGGAGCAGAGGGGCTGGAGATCTGGACTCGGGAGAGGGGCATTTCTGTGCCGGGCTGGGCGCCTGGGTCCTGGGGACTCTCTGGAGCCCTTAGTACAGCTCCCAGCGGCCCTCCCTCCAGGTCCCCAAGCCACCCCATGCTGGAGATGTGCACAAATCGGCAGGTTGTCATCCTCAGAGTGCATGCGGCTGGAACCCAGAAGTCGGGGGGGAGGAAGAGATGAGAGGTGCGTCCGGGCTCCGGTGACAGGTGTTGTCAGCACGTCACCCTGACATCTGGCCCACGTCTGGGGGGGCTCCTCCGACTCCTCAGCCCCACCAAAGAGCAGCCCACATGGCCCGGGCAGGCAGCAGGCAGGCCCTCACCATGTTGTGGATGAGGTTGGTGAGGGTCCAGACAACAGGGACGCTGACAAAGGGGATGCTGAGCAGCACGACATGGAGAAGCCCGATGGCCAGCACGTAGGACAGCCAGATGCCGCGGCTGTTCATCACCCGCGTGTTGGGGTTCACCTCACTGTGCGCCGTGCCCACATTCATCCTGCTGCCCCTCTCGTGCCGCTGCTCTGCAAACAAGCAGCACGGGTGAGACAGGTCATACCACTTTCCCTGCCCCATCACGCCACCCATATCCCTCAGGGAGGGAGGCTCTGCTCTCCCCAGGAACTCCGGGCAGTTTGGCTTTGATTCTCAAGCAAGGAGGCCCAAGAAAGGCTGGGTGGACTTAACTCCATTCATTTTCCACTGCGCTCGACTGGGATAAACACCAGGCTGCCCCACACATTGGCCAACCCGGACGGTGCCCCTCCAGGCACTGGGACTGCCTGGGTGGATAGGTCATCAAGAGGCACCCAGCCCAGAGCAAAGAAACCACTGCCTGTTCCCCAATCTCATCTTCCAGAACATTCCCAGGAGGGCCCTCTTCCCACAAGGTCCAGGGGAGGGGAGAAGAGGCCTATCCCCTCAGAATCACGCAACATAACCCCTCTGGACTATCTTGCTGAGGGCCTGATATGGGGCATCTCCTATCTCTGAGCTCCCTGCACCATTAGAATGAACAAAAGGGGGTGGGGCCCATGAGAACAGGCAGCAGTAGATGCAATATATAGGGGTCATTGCTTCTACCCTCTCCCCTAATTGTCCAATCCTGGATTTCTCCCAACCCTGATCCAGGAGAACTGAGTGGAAAGAGGGAGAGAGGGAAAAGAGAAGACAAAAGACTAGGGACAACCTCTACCCAGACTTGGAGGCCTTTTTCTTGGTGACACAAAACAACCCAGGCAAGATGTTTTATCCTTTTGACAGCCACTCAGGCTAACCCTTGTGATGCCACCCACTCCGCTGCCAAACCACCAGTGCCCTTTTCCCCACCATCGGAGGGGCGAGGATGGAGAACGCGGCCAACATCTACAGCTCCCACGAGTCGCTCAAACCCACAATAACACGCCTCTCCCAAGGACATAAAAACCACCCCTGCGGCCTGTCTCCTGCCCCCTTTCCTCTCTGCCCAGCCCAGCCTCACCTCAGCCTCTTTCCCCAGCACCTGCACCATGCTTTCCTTGCCCACCTCCAGTAGCAGAAGTCCTGCAGCAGGAGGTACCAGAAGGGCTGCCCTTGATGCCCCAGAAACAACACAACCCAGCTGCATTTCTGGATGCACGTAAGGAGGGGAATGAGCAGCCCCTTGTCTAGAGTTCAGCTGTCCCCAGATCCCCAAGGGCCCTGGAACCAGTAGGAGGTGGGAACAGACTGCCTTTGTACTGGCTCACCTCCCTAGGTGAGGGCAGGTCCTGCCTGATAAAGACCTTAGGTCATCACCATGGAAACAACCCTATCTTTCCTGGGGGTGCAGAAAGGGGTCCCGGATGGGGGTATCCGGAAAGTACCCAGAAAGCCATCTCCCTCACCCTGCTGCAACAACCCCCCTCAGATTCCGCTGCTATCTATCTCTGGCTAGGATCACAGCCAAGCCTGTGTGGGAGCCAGGATTCTCAAGGATCAGTTCCTTACTTCCAGAATAATGAGAACAAGTTTCCTCTTCTTAGGGAGCTCTAGGCTAAGAGACCTCAGGGGAAATGTGACCCACAACACACTTCCCAACATGCAAACATGCGTGAGATGACCCAGGGTGCATCCTAGAAGTAATGCTCCTGGGGCCCATCAGCTCAGCCCATTAGGCCGGATAATTGGGCCTAACAGAAACCCAAGGAACTAGAAAACCGGGACTGGCTCGGTTGTTTACCTTCCCAGGGCCTTGGAGCTTCAGTTGCCCTAACACGGCTCCTGGGACACATACTACGCAAAAGCCTGGGGCGGTGGGGAGCTGGCTAAGAAGTAAGGCCTCTGAAGGACTTACTACTAAGGAGAGAGGCAGAGCTCCCCAAGTCTGACCAGAAACTGCTGTCCCTCCCCATTTCTCCCTAACCTAGATAAACAAAGGTGTAGGAGTGCAGAGACCTGTAGCTGTCCCTGGTATTTTGTCTAGCAGTACCAAGGGCTTTGCTGAATCCCAGATCATCCTACACTTCTTTCTTGCTGAGACAGGGCATCCAATGAAGATCAATGAATCTAGGAGGGGCCTAGACTTACGACCTAACTGGTACCCTCGGAAGCGTCTTCCTGAAGACCGAACACCAGTTGCCCTGACAGCAGAAATCCCAGAAGACCCCACCAAAAGACAGAAGAAATCAAGAAACTAAGAAAACGATTGGCAGCCAGAAAGCACTCCTAAGGTTTGTGTGACTAAGGGTACATATCACTTCCATTAGTAAAACAAAACAAAACAAAAAATCCAATCGCCCCTCACCCAGAGGAAAGAAATGGGGAGAAGAGCCTGGCAGAGGCCGAGTGAGTCTACAGCGGCTGAGGCTGAAAAGTTCTGTTGCCCTAGCTGGCAGGGGGCTGCCCTGGCAGTGCCTGATATGGTTTCATAACCTGCCTCAAACCAAAGCCTGCAGCAACTCCGTTCTGTTAACTACTTTCATGCTGGTAGCTCTTTTCTACTCCTTCCCTCCCTTCCTCCCCCCCCCCCAGCTCCGCACACAAATATCCCTGCCCAACCTGTCAATCTGGCACCTAAGCCTGGGCCACAGTGCGCCCCAGGACAGCTGCCAGGTGAGCGCTTCCCATTCTTTCCCCCAAGTAAGGGCAGCCCTTTAAGCAGCAAACCTTTTGCCTTCTAGAGGAGGAGTACAAAACATCCAAGCCCAACGGGGAGACCCTGGCAGCATTCCACAATGCCATTTTCATCGTGCCCACCGCCCAACCCGCAGGGCCACAGTCGCTCACCTCTCAGCTCGGGCCCTGCCTCCCGGACTCGCGAGGGCCGTGGGAATGGAAAGACGGCGAGTACCGGGGCGAACCCCCACTAGCTGGGGAAGAGGGTGGAACGAGGAGGTGGAGTCTATGCTATTGTTGGGTTTTTCGGCGCGGGATCTCAAGCAGAAGAGGGGCCTCCCGCTCCGCTCCCCGGCCTGGGACCTCGCACTCGGAGCCCGGGCCCGGCCCGGCCCGGCCCGAAGCCCCACCCCCACCTCCACGCGTTCACCCAGCCCTGGAGGCGGCCAAACCTTTATCCCCGAAGCCGAGCCTCTCCCCGCCCCCTCCCCCGGCCCGAGCACTCCTCCCGACACACTAGACTCGGTCTCCGCCCCCCCACTTTCCTCTGTGGGCATCCCTTCGGCTGATGCACCTCCTCCCACCTCCGCTCACCCTGCCCAGGTCCCCTTCAGCCCGGGGCGCTTCCCCAGCAGCCCCCACCTTCTTTCCCGCGCCGCCTCTAGCCCCAAGAGGAGGCTCCCGGTTCGGCCACCCCGAAGCCGCTCGCCCGGACTCACCGTACAGGGCCGGCGGTCTAGGGCCCAGGAGGGGTGCCCGGGGGCCGGGGCCGCGGGTGCTCCAGCAGCTGTAACAACCCGCCGCGGCAGCCACCCCGCTGGCAGCTCGGACCGAATCAGCGCCCAGCTCCAACCCCCATGACGTCACCGCCCAGCGCCGGCCCGCCAGGTGCCTCCTGGGAGTTGTAGTTTCTCCCTTTGCCCGCGTACGGGCCCGCCCGGTGCCTCCTGGGAGTTGTAGTTTTCTCCCCCCTGCTGCAGTTTTGGCCTCGCTGGAGCCGCAAGGCCAGACGTTTCAATAGCACGCGAAACTGACCTCAGATGGTATTGCTCTGGCGTGTAACAATTCCTACTTTTGCGTCCGCGCGCTTCAAGTGCGGTTTACTCTTGCCTGGTTTTGAGATCAGGAAATTCAGTTTTAAGTGACTTGCCATAGGTGCCTGCTGGGTCCCAGTAGGGACCAAAACCCGGAGATTCTGACCCCACGTCAGAGTTTTTCCATACACCTCGCTGGCTCTGCCCTGGCCATATATTGGCTCCACGAGAAACAGACTAGCCGGGTCCATTGCCCTGGCAGGCCCTCCTGGAAGCTGGCTTCTCACAACGTTGTTTAGGAGCAGAGTCTGGAGGGCAGAGAAAGCAGCCTACGGACACCGTTTGTCCAGAGGCTGGCTACCCTTCAGTTAACTTGAGCCAGGCTGCCAGCCCACATCCTCGACCACCCCACATTAGGCTTCAGAAGAGGCCACGTGTCTTGGGAAGACTCCATGATAAATCATTAGGAGCCTGAATTCTAGTCCCAGGTCAGCCTGTGTGGCTTTGGGTGGGAGGCTCCACCTCTCTGGGCCACAATTTTCTCACTTGTATGTCCCATAGTCAAGGGCACAGATTTTATTGCCAGGCCAGCATAACATAGGCACTCCTTTACCAGCAGTGTGACCCTGAGCAAAGACAAAAATGTCTTCATCTCCAATTCCACATCTATGAAACCCTATCTCCAAGGTTGTGCGAATTCAAAAGAATGTAGGTAAAGCACCTGTTGCGTTGTAGGAAGCTATTCTGTAGGAAGTTGAACTAAATGGCCCTGAGGTCTCCTGGGTCAGTCCCACTCTCCATGTCACCAAAAAGGCCTTGTTTGAGTCATTTTCACTGCCCCCACCCAGCTTCTGAGTCCACTCTGAACCGCAGGGCTGGAATAGCAGGGTCAGATGACGTCATGACATGCCAGCCTGACTGGCTGTAAGCACAGCCTGATTGAATGTGAGGGGCCAGAAAGGAGAATGCTGGCCCAGGGAAACTGGGGAGCACTTCCCTGAGACCTCACCTGCCCTTCCCCAGGCGACTGCCAGGAAACAGTCATCACAAAACTGGAGGGGGCCCCCAGAGGCACCAAGTGGGAAGCAAGTGGATATCTGAAGCTCTCAGAGCAGGAGAACAGGAAGCTTCTCAAATATTTCCAGGGCCAATGGCCAAAGAGCGCTCATCCCAAGACTTAAATAATCACCCCAGAGTCTGAAAAAGTTCTACCTTATACAAAAATTTCTCCTGCTTCGTGGGAGCCCCTTTTTTGTAGTCAGCCTTCTGAAGACATAAGCAAACAACTGAGTATTGGCCTTTCTACAGAAACCTCCCAGCACTGAGGCAAAAAAGATGTCTTATTTTTTCCAAAGTGAGCCTGCTTGATTCTTTGACTCTTCTCTGGAATTCTTCCATCGTCCCTCAAGTTGATCAAGCTCTCGGGATCTTTGCCAGTTTCTTCATATTTCTGTGAAATTCAGTGACCCAGACTGGATCCACGTCTCAAATAAGGGCTGACTAATGCATAGTCTAACGGAAAGATTACCCGACATGCCATGCCCTATTAATAACTCCTGTTATCGAGTTGTGTTTTTTTTTTCCACAATGGGAATGAACAGAGTTCTGACTCACTCTAGGTCTGTGGTAAATTGTGGATCACTTTCTGCTTAATTTAGCCTGAGTCCCTGTCATCATCTTTCTCCTTCTTTAGCTCTCTGCCTTCATAATTACCCTGTCTTTACCAAACATCCTTCAGCCATGAATAGGCCTAAGTACTGTTCAGAATGAGTGACAGCACTCTTATGTGGTGCTGGGGAATGCACAATCCCTTGAACAAACAACGGGTAATATGGGCCAAGAGGCTGAAAAGTCACTCGGACCTTAGAGGCATGATTACATTTCTGGTAGCATATTCTAAGGAAGTATACCCCATGTTCATTCCTGCGTTGTTGTTTTTTTATAATGTGGAAAACAGAAAGCAACCTAAATGCCCAAGAAAAATACTATGGAGGCGCACCTGGGTGGCTCAGTCGGTTAAGCGTCTGCCTTCGGCTCAGGTCATGATCCCAGGGTCCTGGGATCGAGTCCAGGGAGCCCGCTTCTCCCTTTCCCTCTGCCGCTCCCCCTGCTTATGCTCCCTCTCTCTTTCTGTCTCTTTCTCTCTGTGTCAAATAAATAAATAAATAAAATCTTTTAAAAAAAAGAAAAATATTATAGTATAGCCATTGGATGGCATAGTGTGGTTATGGCACAATTAGTGGTTCTGGAAAACCATGGGTCAGTATGGGAAAATGTTTGCTAGGTTATATGAAAAGATCAGGGGGAAAAAATAGCATGAGTATTCCCTGGGGATGCAGTCAGCAAAATCTAGGAAAAGGGAAACTAGAACAAACATCCAATCCCTTAACAAATAAGTTAGAAGGGAAAAAAGGAGAGGGAAAGACAGAGTAAAACAAATCAAGCAATATATCAACCAAAGGCCATATTTGGATCCTGATTCAAGCAAACTAACTTTAAAAAAAAAAAGATTTTATTAAGTTATCAGGGAAGTTTGAATATTGATACTTAATATCGATGATATAAGGAATAATAATTTTTAAGGCATGATATGGCCTTGTGATTTTTCTAAATAAAAAGTCTTCCTTTTCTTTTGGAGATATATACTAAAATATATGTGGAGGAAATGAGTGATGACTGGATTTGTTTCAAAATAATCTGGGCTTGGGGCGCCTGGGTGGCTCAGTCGGTTAAGCGGCTGCCTTCGGCTCAGGTCATGATCCCAGCATCCTGGGATTGAGCCCCATGTCCGGCTCCCTGCTCAGCAGAGAGCCTGCTTCTCCCTCTCCCTCTGCCTGCCACTCTGCCTACTTGTGCTCTCTATCTCTCTGTCAAATAAATAAATAAAATCTTTAAAAAAAAAAACAAAATAATCTGGGCTTACGGACTTGGGGGGATACAAGAAACAAGATGGGCTGTGAGACAATTATTGACACTGAGAGATGGGGACATGAGATTCCTTATATTATTTTTTCTACTACTTTATGTTTGAAACTGTCTGTAATAAAAGCTTTTATAGGGGCACCTGGCTGGCTCAGTCGTTAAGCGTCTGCCTTTGGCTCAGGTCATGATCCCAGGGTCCTGGGATCGAGCCCCACATCGGGCTTCCTGCTCAATAGGAAGCCTGTTTCTCCCTCTCCCACTCCCCCTGCTTATGTTCCTACTCTCGCTGTGTCTCTCTCTGTCAAATAAATAAATAAAATCTTTAAAAAAAAGAATAAAAATAAAAAATAAAAGCTTTTATAAATCTGCATATGCAGTAACGGCGATGATAAGAAAAAACAGAGCAACACCGTTAGACCCTGGCACCAAACTGCCAGGGTTCAACAAGCAGCTCCTGTACTTACCGGCTGTGTGACCTTAGACAGGTCACTGAACCTCTCTGTGTTTCAGTTACCACGTTTCTAAAAGGAGAGGGGGATGAGCATGATCATGCCCACCCTCATGTCGCTGTGAGGATTAAATGGCTCCATCAATGTGAAGCACTTCAAGCAATTCCTGGCGCCTAGTAAGTGCTCCGTGTTACATTTTATTAATCCAGTCTACCTTTGAATGATGTTTGAGCATCTACTTTACTAGGCCGTGGAAATCCAACAAAATAAAAACAGATCTTGTGTTAGGATGGAGGGGTTGGGGGCGATCTCCTTCATGCTCTAGTTTCAAACTTTGTGTAATGCGAGATTATGAGTTTTCAATTTTTTATGAAATGTGCTTGTGTTTTGAAAACAGAGGAAGCCACTCTCAGAGGCTCTCCTGCTCTCTGGGAGCTCCTTAGTCTGCTGAGATAGACACATTCCCCAGCCTTGGTGTTTCCATCTGGCAGGGTGGCGAGGCCTCTGCTTGCCACAGATACAACTGCGTAGGCCGAGATAGCAAACATGGGCGGGGTCATAGCTGGGAACACATTCCCGAGATGATGGCAGTGGTGGGAAGTGAGGAGGTGGGGTGTCAAGAAACAGAGCCCCTTTCCTTGACCGCTGGGGGGCGGGGGGGAAGCAGGTCACCCCTCCACTCCTACTACCCCCTCCTCCCCTCCAATTCATTCTTTTACCCCCCTACCTCACCTCCCTCCTTCCTGAAGGAAGGTCACACCTAGACCAAGTGCAAGGAAGAAAAGAGCTGTTTAGTTCATTGGCAGTGGGGTTTGGGTTTGGGTGGGGGGCACCCCAAGCCTGGGGTGGCAGCGGTGGGGAGGGGGCGGTGATGCTGAGCAGACAAAGAAGCACTGAGTGAGAGCTACTGAGCTGGTGAGAAACAGGGAGCATTGCCAGGGGGGCCTCGCTCTCCGCGCAGCATCCAGCCCTGTGGTTGGCTATTTGGGGCTGGACCCTGCCCGGGGCCTCCAGGCCCAGAGGCAAGGCCTGGGAACCAGAACCTCCGTCTGAGAACCAAGAGCAGGGCTGTTCTTTAGACACCTCTCTATCTGCATATTCTTTGATATGGACCATTGACATTTTCTCCCCTGGGGAAAAAAAGTAGGCTAGACAACTGCGAATATTACAGAGCAAAAGGGCAACAGATAGGGAAACCGTGGCTTTAAGAAGAAGTCCCCTAGTGCATCCCAACCGCATTACTACCTCTAGTAGGCCCTACCTCTCTAGAAATCCTGGGGTGCAGGATTTCTACTGCACCAGATCACCTTCCTCTCCTGTCTAATGCCCACTCCTCCACCAGTAATAACAACAACTAACTTACGCAGTGTTTGCTGTGTTCCAGGTATTGGGCAAAGGGCTTCACGTGTATGAGCTCTTTTAATCTTTCAAACGGCCCTGTGCGGTAGGTATTTTTATTGTCCTGACTTTAAAATGGGAAAATTGCGGTAGAGAGTTTAAATATTCTGCCCAAGGTCACACAACTAAGGAAGTGGCATTTCTCCCAAAATCCATTCCTGGCCCCATACCTCCCACCCACTGTGTCCCTCATGTTCCCACAGGTGCCTTGTAAAGACTTCTATCTGCACTGAGGGCACTATATTTAAATTATCTGCTATACACCCGCTTCCCCTGCTAGGCTGCTGGCTCTGTGTCTTACTCATATGCATTTCCTCCACACAGTGGGTTGTCAGTGAATGTTAGCAGAAGGATAGAACTGACCTGCACATCCCAGATACACCCTCTCTGAGCTCCTAACCATTCTCAGAATACACCTTGTTCTTTCTGGCTCTTACCTTAGGCTGCAGTGCTTTTTCCTCCCAGCCTTTTCCATTTGGTAGACTCCTATTCATCCCTCAAGGCCATCCCTTACCTGTCACCTTCTCTGTGAAGCCTTCTCCAACTGCCCAGGCAGAGTCTACTGCTCAGACCTCCGCGCTCCTCTGACCTCTGCAAACACCCCAGCTAGAGCCCACCCCATGGCTATCAGGTGCACAGGTCTGGCTTCATCTATTGTCTGGGGGACATTTTACCTCTCTCTGCATCCCCGATGTCTAAGAGGCCCAGGAGGTATGAGTTGAACAAACAAGAGATGGATGGGTATACGCACCCCCCCTTTGTCATTTCCCACGAGGAACTTTCCAGCAAAGGCCTTTGCTGCCCCTCCTGCCTAAACTGCCCAGTAAACTGGCATTAGATGAGTCCCTGGCTAACACAATGGTTAGCCCTCTTCCTTTCCTTTCAATTATCCCTCTCTATCCAGGCTGGATGTGGGAGCCTTCCACTTCAGGGAGGTAGGGACCTGAAGGCCTACTCTCTCTCCTCCAAGGTCACATCTTAGAGGCATGGAGTTACTGCCCTTGAAGGGAGGAGCTGGGACTCAGCTCAACCAGGGTGGGTGTCTCTCCTGGGCCCTGCCCTTGGGAGCCAGGCCCTGCCATGCCTCAACCTCGTCCCTGCCCCACCATAATAGACACACTGAACATCAGGCTGGAAGGGAGCTCAGAGAACATGAGGTCCAGAGGTCCAAGGGGATTGGAGAGGGATGCAGCCAATGGCAGAAGTGGTCTTGGGCCCGGCCCAAGGGTTTTCCCATGTACACCATAAGCCATGGCAAAGAATGGAACACCCTAGTCATAGTTCCTTCAGTCCTGCACCATAGCTTCCGCTCAGGCCTTTACCACGTCCCACCTGGACTGTCCCAGTAACTGGTCTTTCTTCCACCAATACATCCTCCACACAACCAGAAAGTGATCGAAACATCAAAGCTAATCTTAAAACCCTTCATCTACCGGCCACTAAATCAAATCCCAATTCTTACCTGGTATGAAAGACCACAAGGATCTGTTCCCTTTCCACTTCAACCATAGCCTTTGCCACCAGCCCTCCATTCTACAGTCTAGGAGAAGCCAAACCTTCTCGTGCTCCCCTGCTCTTGCTCATATCTTGCTTCTCCACCTGATGCACTCAGCCTTGAAGACCCAGCACAGATGTTCGCTCCTTGGTAAAGCCTTCCCTGATATCCTGGAGAAGTGAGTGTATCAGGTAGGAATGCTTCCAGCTGAAAGCAACGGAAAACCCAAGCAAGGGAATGATTCTGAGTTGCCAGGAGAGTCACCCAAGGAGCTTTTAAAAGTCCCCATCTACTGGACACATGCCAGACCAAGGTTAATCAGAATCTCTGTGGTGGGTGCGGGCACCAGTAGTTTTCAAAACCTCCCCTATTCTAACGTGAAGCCACGTTGAAAATCACTGAAGCAGGGGTTTATTTTTTTCACATAATGAAAGAAGCAGGCGGTTGCTAGTGTTGGTTGAGTGGCTCAGTGATATTCAGGCCAATTTCTCGGTGATACTCTTGACCTTTCCTTCCTGCTTCGTTGCCTCATGGTCACAGGATAGCTATGGCTGACCCTCCATGTTCAGAGCAGGGACAAAGCAATAGGGAGAAGGATGGGGCCGTCCTCGTTTATAAACAAATCAAAGACTGTCCCAGAAAGCCCTCAAGCAGACTTCCCCTTAGATGTCATTGAACTGGGCCAGCCCCCCAGCCACAAAGGAGGCTGGGAAAATGCGCAACAGGGATTCCTGATAGACTGAGAGGACCAATCAGGCTCTATCAGGAGGGATCGAGCACATTGTTCCTCCCAAATCGGCGGGTGGTATAAAGGAAGGAAATAAGGAACAGACATTGAAGGGGGGCAGAATACGCCACCCCAAAATATGCCACTTTGGCATTACGATTATTTTGAGCTCAATTCACATTAAAAAAAAAAAAAAAAAACAGAGGCAAGAAAGGTATTCTAGTCTCCCCACCTTTTTTCCCCTGAAAACAGGAGACAAAACTCCCGTGTGAAAGATGCCCTCCTGGTACTATTCGATGGGGAGTCAAAGCTGAGAGACTTCTGTACAAACAGACCTTGTTAAAAATAATCTTTCTCTTTCTCTAGCCTCTCCATATATTGTCTCTCTTTAGTCAACCTAACATAAAAGTATTCGCAACTTGCCACTTTTTTAGGTCTTCATTTTCTCATGAGGCTCCTGGGTGATGTGAAGCTTACATAAATGTGTGTGCTTTTCTCCCGTTGATCTGTGTTGTGAGTTCAGTCCACAGGCCCCGCTGAAAAGCCCTAAGAGGGAAGAGGGAAAACGTCACCTCCCCGGCAACACGGCGTTGACAGCCGGCAGATTCTGCCACCGTTACTTATTCTCTCTCTGGGTCTGAAAGCTCCTCGTACTCACATCAGACATCACGTGAATGCCCGTGGAGACTTGGATCAGCATGTCCGTGTCTTCCTTCTAGACAGGCAGTTCTCAGCTCTCAGCTCGGGCTGCACACGAGACATGCCTGCAGAGCTTGTGAAAAATACCAGCGCCTAGACCCCAGCCACCGAGAGTTGAATTTAATCGATCCGGGTGAAGAACAGGGTCTATGTCCCCTTCAGTGAGCACAGTTCTTGGGACACGAGGCACACGGGACATCCTCACTGAGCAGAGGAATGAATGGCAGAGAATTTCTGCCCCAACCTTGTCGACCCCCAGCCGGCACTGCGCATCATCCCCTGTGGTTCCCCCTTCCTCTGCGTTCCTTCTCTGCTCAGCATGGCCCTTAGCCACCCTCAGTTAACCGCATGTATGCTCCAGGTGGACCCTCCTGTCTATACATTGCCTGCTTCTCCTGACGCTGTTGTGCTGGGCACCCCAGTCCTGCTCTCTCCCTCTCAGTAGCTGCCCTTGTCTTAGAAGGACATCATTCCATCAACAGCCAGGCCCACTTTGGGCGCCTTAGTTAGCTAAACTCCTGCCCAGGGTGAGAGAAGAACAGTGTGAGGGGTAGGATCCCAAATGTTTGCTCTTCCACATTCAGCCACAATCCCAAAATGGACACGCAAGTTTTCAGGGGCAGAGTGCCTAACAAGCAACCCACGGACAAAATTTTCACTTCTCCTGCCCAAGTGTAGAAAATGTGTCTTATCTGATTTCTTGGACAAATGTGAGTCTGAGAAGTGCCCCTGTTGACGTCACAAGCATGAGTCACTGGTTGAGTGTCTCCAGAGATGATATCATCCGATATCAGATTCTGGCCCTCATCCCACTTCTGAAACTGCTTGATCAAAGGTCACCTCCAGGGCCGGCTTCACGGGCACGTGGCCTGTACCATCCCACAGAGCCCCGGGCCCCGCACTCAGGAGGGTCCTGCACTTGGTTTTACAATCCGCTGTTACCATCTCGAAATTCTTAACAGTTGTTGAACAAGGGGCCCTACATTTTCATTTGGCACTGGGCCCTGAAATTATGTGTCGGCTTCTGGTCACTCATAGTCTCTTACAAAATCCAGCGAGGTTTTTTCCTTCTTAGTAGGGTCTCCACAGCATATGTCCTCAGCCGCCTTTGTGCAAGAAAGGAGGTGTCCTGTGAAACCCCACTCGCCAGTTCTCTTTCACTGCATTAGGAGAGGGTGCTGTAATAGGGTTGCGTGGGGTACAAATGACGGTTGAGATCAAGAGGCCCTGGGGAACGAGCCCTCCCTGGCTCCCAGACATGAGGGAGACTTAAAAGGACCAACTTGGGAGTCCAGGGCTCCAGCGAACAGAGACAACCGGAGTCAGCTCCAACCCAAAACAGAAAATCAGCAGGAAAACTTATAGGGGACTGTATCAGACTTCAGACACCTTGAAGAACCCGTTCCAACTCCTGGAGGGGCCATCCACCCATGGTGCAGAGGACAAACGAAAACTGAGCCACAGTGCCCTCTACCAGGCAAGAGCGTTGGGCACCAGAGCACTGGGAGGAGTCAGGAGTTGAGGTCCAAGGAAAAGGCTGAGGGAAGTCCATTTACCACGGAAGAAGGTGGCCCAGGGCACGGTAGAAGGACAGAGAAGGAGAGTGGGGGAGGGACAGAATTGGGGGAGACGGCTGCTGGAGGCAGTGGATGTGAGATGGGGCCCACCCCACTTCTGCCCCCGACCCCCACCCCAGGCCTGCCGAGCCGGGATCCTTCTGCTGGGCCAGGCTCTGGGCGAGCGGCAGAGGTTTTGGAAGGCAGAGTCTTAGCTCTGGCTCAGAGAAGAGGGACAGAAGATGGCGGTGTTCAAGGCCTTGGGAGGGGAGCCTGAGGCAGAGAAAGGAATTGGGGCCTGGCCTCCCCATGGCAGAGTTCATCAGGGTCCAGGATCTGCCCTGTCTTGGCATCTCCTGGCCAGGCCACGGCTCAGGTATCTGACACCTGGGGCCCGGAGTCACATGCCAGGAAACCCAACACTCTTGGGCCCCAGCCCCCAATTTCCAGCAGCTACAGGCAAACAGGGTTTCTGGAGGAGGAAGCGGGTCTCCGGAGTCGGGCAGCAGGGAGACAGACTACTTCCGGGGAGAGGACACACAGGAGAAGTCTCTCCCACCAACAGGGGTGAGAGGTTGAGAGGAGGAGAGAGGGGAGGGGCGAGGAAGAGCGGGGTGGAGAGGACAAAGCTGGGGCAGGCAGAGAGGTGGGTGGTCCAGGAGAGCGGGGAGATGGCCATAGAAAGCAGACCTTCGTCACCTAGCCTAGCTGAATGCCCTGAAGTCCGATCGCTGACCTGTCTTCCTTGTCTCTTTTATATGAGAGCCAACCTGGCCCTCTGGTGCCTACGGGGCCCACCTGGCAGCCACCCAGCTAGCTTGGCAGAGAAAGACTTTATTCCAATAAGAGAAACTAATACATGCGTGGAAGCAGAGACTTGGAAGCCCCCAGACCCAGAGTGACCAACAGGATCTTGGACCAAGAGACGTCATAGATTAACCCTCCAGAAACAAAGAGGTGCTGGAAGAATCTCAGGCCCAGGGGACCTCTTACCCAAAGGGCCTGAAAAGGGAACCTTAAACCCCAAAGAAGAAGCAAAAGTCACCCAGACTTGAGTGAACCCCCAAAGGAAGGCCCCAGCCCTCAGAGCCCCCACGGGGAAACCTCCAGAAGAGGGAGCTGGTGGTGGGAAATGTGTGGAATGGAAGTCCCTCGACTCATTCTTTTCTTCCCCAGCTCCTACTGCACTCCAGGACTATGCCCATCTTCAGCCATGCTCCCACCAGCCGGTCCCCTGCTGTCTCTCCTGCTGGTGACAGGCACATGTGGCACGGAGCCCAGTCCCTGGGTACCTCCTCAGGGCTGCTACGTGGCCGAAGAAGCTGGTGAGCGGACATTCCGTTGCAGCCAGGCGGGCCTGAGCACGCTGCCCACCGGCATCCCCAACGACACACGCAAGCTCTACCTGGATGCCAACCGGCTGGCCTCGGTGCCCGCAGGAGCCTTCCAGCACCTTCCTATCCTGGAGGAGCTAGATCTGTCCCATAACGTCCTTGCCCACCTCTCGGGGGCCGCGTTCCGGGGCCTGGCGGGCACGCTGCGCCGCCTTGACCTCTCTGCCAACCGGCTGGCCTCGGTGCCCGCAGAGGCCTTCGTGGGCCTGCAGGTCCAAGTGAATCTGTCCGCCAACCCATGGCGCTGTGACTGTGCCCTGCAGGAGGTGCTCAGGCAGGTGAGGCTGACACCAGGCCCTGGAACAGGCATCGTGTGCGGCCCCGGAGCCCGCCCCGACCTCGTGGGGCAGGAGTTCCTGCCTCTGGCGGGCGAGGAGGAGCTGTGTGGGGCGGGGCGGGCCGGGGCCCAGCGGAGCACTGATGTGGCTCTGCTGGTCACCATGGGGGGCTGGCTGGCACTTGTGGTGGCTTATCTGGCCCACTACGTGTGGCAGAACCGGGAGGAGCCCCGACGTCCCCTCAAGCGGGCCCCGGTGCTGCCCGGGCGCTCCGAGGACTCCTCCACCCTCAGCACAGTGGTCTGAGGACCGGGGCCACCCCTCCAGCCCCCTCTGATGACCTGGCCTACATTCCTCCCCCTCCGCCCTCTCCTTTCCCCTGACCCTCTCTGCCTCCTCTGCAACCCCATCCCATCCCACTTCCACCCCCCTTCCTTTCCCATTTCCCCTAAAAGCCCAATCTCTCTCTCAACCAACACCCTCTGTGGGGCCTGGAGTGTTTGGTGCCTACTCTAACTCAGAGACCCAAAGCTCCCAAGTCCCCATGGTGGGGGGCAACAGAACAGAGACGGACAGTAGATGGTACGAGTGCCCACTCAGAGGTAGGGGAGCAGAAGGCTGTGGGAGCACAGAGGAAGAAGCCTCTACCCGGCTGAGTGATCTCCAGGCTTCGCTGTGTGGATGTTTGAGCTGACTCTTCAAGAACGAGAAGGGCTTTGGGCAGAAGAGGGAGGACTCCAGCTACAAAGTGATGGACAAAAGCAAAGAGGATGCAAACAACTCGGAAAGTATGGGCAACAACGAGACATCCCTGGGGGCTGAAGTAGAGGGTGCAGAGAGAGACCAGGGGAGGCTGGGCCCTGTGGTCTCCTGCTCTCCTCTCTCCACCTCTCCTGAGAAGCTCCACCCTCACTTCCTGCCTCTCTCTTGGCTCCAGGCTCCTCTCTCCTCTCCCTCTGCCCTCTGTTGGGGACCCCCCTGGCTTAGAGAGCGCTGCTTCCTTTTCCAGAGATGCCCCATCTCTCTGCTCCCTCCTTTATACACTGACGGGCTTTCTGAACCCTTTCCCTTGGGAGAAGAGTGGTCTCCTCTATGTCGGAGCTGAAGATAGGTCACTGGGAGCTGGAGGGGGATGGGGACTAGGAGATCTCCCACCCCCAGAATATCACTGGACAGCTCAATAAAGTCACTTTTGGGGCACCTGGGTGGCTCAGTCGGTTAAGCGTCTGCCTTTGGCTCAGGTCATGATCCCGGGGTCCTGGGATCGAGCCCCACATCGGGCTCCTTGCTCGGCTGGGAGCCTGCTTCTCCCTTTCCCTCTGCCTCTCCCCTGCTCATGCTCTCTCTCTCTCTCTTGCTCAAATAAATAAATAAAATCTTTAAAAAAAAAAAAGTCACTTTTATTAATGCCCCTGATCTCTTCCTTATTGTTCACCTCACTGAACATCTGTGGCCTGACAATGAGGAGTGCGAGGGTGTTGAGCTCTTCACCACATCCTCTGCCACCGCTTCGGTGGTGGGTGTTCCCACTGGGCTGGATGCCAACTCCTCTCTCCCCTCCCACCTCCCAGCTCCTGACACCGGAGTCTATCTGCTAGGGATGCCAGGGCCTGTGAATTAATGATGATGGAACCAGAATGGAGGATGGGAGGAGGCTGGAGGGAGGACAAAGAGGGAGGAGGGAAGGAGGGCAACGTCCAGGCATCAGTCATCAGCTGGCAGCCTCCAGCCTGTTGGACGGGGCAGAGGAAGCAAAGGGAGAGGGAGCTGCTCCCCTCTTGGCGATCTGTCTTTTCTCCCAGTGGGAGTCTGAGCAGGGGGTACAGAGAAACTAGATGTGCTCAAAGTTAATGAAGGAATTCCTGGGGTGGCAGAGACCAAGTAGGCCAAAGGAGGGGGGCCCTATGAGATATCCCTATCACCAAATTGGCTTCTCAAGGGACCAAAGGGGTCAACACACCCCATCCCTTGCCCCCATGTAGGATGATCCAGCCATGCGGCCTCCAGGGAGGAAACAGCTGCTTTGGGGAAGCTCATGGAAACCCCAATAGAAGCTGAAGATAAAACCACTGAACCAGGGCTCCACCCAGTTTGGGGCAGAGCCTGGGGTAGATGGGGCAGCCACTCAAGGAGAAGCAAAGGGGAACCCATCACTTCCCCAGTCCCTCTGACCCACCCTGACTTCCCTGTCTCCTTTCCACCACCACCACCCTTCCTCTTGCCATCTCTCAGGCTCCCTCCACCACTCCAAGGCTGAGCTCCCTCTTATCGTCCAGGAAGCTTCAACTTGACTCATCTCCGAAAAACCTGGGACCCCCACCCCATCCTCTTTTTCCAGGAGACATGGGCCTCCCACTTGCAGGGATGCTCAGGGGTGGGGAAAGAACAAGGATGTGGGAATTTCCGGGCTGTAGTTCGACCTCCGCCCCAGCCACACCCCAGCCTGGGCCTTGGAATCTTGGCCCCAACCCTCTCAAATCCTCCATCAGTTTCTCCCCTGCCACTGTCTGTCCCTCTCTGCTCACCTACCCATTCCTGAAATCAGGCCGGGATGCACCTCACCGGATGCTGGGAAACTGGGATGCTGGGATGTAGACCCACGGGAGTGGGAGGCTGGGGGACAGGTGGGGCCCTGAGACTCTATCATCTATGCCCATCTCTGGAGCCTCACTTGACTTCCTGTTATCCTGAGCCGCAGAAATGGCACCTTTGAGATCTGCAGAGAATCGGTTCCCCCATCTGGACACCTAACACCAATTCCCCGAGGTAAGCTCAGGATGGGAAAGATCCAGGGAGGGAAACTTTGCCTGGAACCCAGGTCAGGAGGGGTCCTAGGGCCCTGGAGAGTAAAAGTGATCTACCAGTTCTCCCCATGGCCCCCTCTGGCTCAAATTCCTTTCTCTCTTGGGATCTAGGGCAGCAGAGGGAGAGGGGGGACAAGCAGGACAGAAGATGGGGGATTGGGGAGGTGCCAGGGAGAGACCCCTTCACCCCAGTCAGCTGGGGGTCCCTGAGTCGGAAATTGGTGGGAGGGGGCATCGGAAGCTATAGCTCCAACTCAGTGCATTACAGGACACTGGACAGAGCGGAGCCTCCACAGACTCGGAGATGCTCCCGCCTAGAGCAGAAGTCGCTGAATCCCTAAGCCCTTCCCTCTGCACCCTGGCCTCTGGGTCGTACTTGTCCAGTGGGCAGGCAGGAAGGGGTGGCATAACCAGTTTCTCCCCCGTCCTTCTCTCTACTGGGGACCAAGGATCATAGGACCCATGTTCTGAGATGCCAAGCCGGCAGTTGGACGGTTTCATTTTTGCTGCCTGCTTCTCACACTTCTGGTCGGTACAGATGCACTCTGTCAAAACCAACACTCGCACCGGGATGAGCGGGAGCCAGGAACAGAGCTGCCAGGAGCCAAGAGAGCCCAGCCATAGGGGCGCCTGGGTGGCTCAGTCGTTAAGCGTCTGCCTTCGGCTCGGGTCATGATCCCGGGGTCCTCGGATTGAGTCCCACGTCGGGCTCCCTGCTCGGTGGGAGGCCTGCTTCGCCCTCTCCCACCCCCTCTGCTTGTGTTCCCTCTCTCGCTGTGTCTCTCTCTGTCAAATAAATAAAAATAAAATCTTAAAAAAAAAAAAAAAGAAAGCCCAGCCACATATCTGGTCCAGAAGAACCTGAGAGGTCTGGGGCAGGACCCAGCTTGGCATCCACATGCGGCATCCTGGAGCCAGCGGGCTGTAGGTAGGGGTGGGAGAAGAGAAGTCCCCCACTCAGCCCTCGCACACCAATTTCTTCCTGCCCTGTGGAGCAGAAGCCTGAAGCGGCCCTGAGGGAGCTCCCAGTCTGAGGGGGAGAGACATGAACCTAACTCTCGGGGAACTTCCAGACTAATGGAAGAAATAGGATCTTTTCTCTTTGGGGAGCTCTGAACCTGGGGAGACCAAGACCTACCCCAGAAACAGAGACCTGAGCATCTACAAAGCCTTGTTATCTACTAAAGGAAGTGAACAGGGAGCTAACTGTGGGTACCAAGGAGCCGAGGGAGGCGCAGCCCCCACCCTTCCTGTCCTGGGCTCACATGCAGACATTTCAAGTGCAACACCGAGCTCTCTTGTCTGCAAGAGAGGGAGGGCTTATCAGCCTCAAAACCAGAAGCAACTGGACAGCTTACACCGAGGGGAGGGCTGCACCTCCCCCGTTAGGCTAAGAGGAGTTCCGACTACAAACAGCTTCACCTCATCTTGCTGGGACTTTGTCACCAGCAACCTCGCTGCCTATGAGGAACTGTGTCCCCAACCAGGAAGGCAGAAAACCAAGCAGAGCAAGGCCTCGAGCTGCCAAAAGAGATGCCACCACAAGCCCATTCATTCATTCGACATTTATTGAGTTACTACTATGTGCCAGGCACTGCAGATACAAAAATGAGGAAGTCATGGTATCCATCCTTGGCAACCTGACAGGTTAGCGACGGCAGCCGCCATGACAGAGGCCGGCGGCAGGGGCCATGTGAGCCCAGTGGGGCACTGAAAGCAAACGCCAAGGTTCAAGCCCATCTTTCTTCAGACGGGTGAAGAAGATGGCTCCGGAATCTCCAGTACCGGGAGTGAGTGCATCATGGCACTTCTCAGTTCTTGTCTCTCTGTCCCCGTTTAATGTCCTACTGCCACCACCATTCCCACGCACCTCCCGCTCCCTGGAATCTAGCTTACCTGCACCCAGTCACAATACTCACATCTGCACTTAGGGCCATCACTGTCTCCTCGAGACTTTTGACTGAGTGAATTCAGCCCTCAATTCTTCACTTTTGGGGTCAGGGGCAATTTATCATGCAGAGTCAGACCATCAAGGAACGTTCCTGCGAGAGATGTGTGGGAACAAGCCCCTGTCCTCCAGAACCAAGAAAACACTGCAGAGAGAGGTAGGGAAGCCGGTCGAGGGTTCCAGGCCAGGTGAGAGGGGCTGCTCCTGAGGGCTGTGCCCCCACCTGAGCAGCACGGGCTGTGAGAGCTGGCAGCGATCTTTATTTTACAAAAGGGCCCAGAGAGGGGCAGTGAGTTGTCCAAGGTCACACAGGGAGTCCGGGAAGACCTAGGACTAGAACCTACAGGGGCCCTGTCCCTCTGGGGGACACACACACACACACACACACACACACACACACACACACACACACCCTTCCAAGGGAAAGGGACAAGGGAGGGATAGGGAGAAACAAGGGTGGACCCAGGGATGCAAGCGAGGGAGCTGGAGGGGGATAGGAAGAGAGCCCCACCCACTCAGGGCCAGCCCCACTCCACACACCACAGGAGCTGAAG